GTATTACCAATTGGATAATTTCTGCTAAATGTAAACCTTAGCCTGTAGACCTTGTCTTTGTATGTATAATGGTTATTAATGTTGAATCGTGGGCAGAAACAAAGGCTAACCAGACGAATTGCGCACAGATAATCAGACCCAGACCCAGGTGAAGTCCCTACCGGCAATTGTGACGTCTACCTCGCTGGCCCCTGAGTCGAGGAACCCAAGGTTACCCGATGGCAGTCCCTCGCAAAAGAGATCGAGGGACTCTAACCATTTTGCATATTAGCGATGCATACTACAAAAGTGTTTACATCGGCAACGGGAGCATCTTTCATACCCTCTTCCGGATCGTGTACTTCTTGGCCTACGCTCTCGAGTACATCCTGGAGCTTCATGCTTCTAGCCATACACTGCCGTCAATGGTTGCTATCGGCCGCAATGGCGTATATCAGTTGTTTCGTCGTCTTCGTGCTTCCTCTTTACGGACGGTCCGTATCGCCCTCTTTGCCGTGAGGCGCGGAGGCTGATGCATGAGGTGCGCCAAGCATTGCACAACTAAAGTTAGGCTACGCACAGCTAAGCCGGATTGGGAGATCGTTCAGAGCAAGTAAAGGTGACGTCATGCCTGGGAGCTGCCACGCCCAACCTTACAAAAGCATCGGAGAGGGAAAGAACGACGCAGATAGACCATTTAACGCGTCTTGTCTCTCTCCCTTCAAGCACTCTAGCAAGCCATTCTCCTATTTTATCTATTCGTTGTGTTCCCATGGTTGTTTGTATGCGACGAGCTATCATAGTAAATTATTCGCTGACATAATGTGGATGCGGTTAAGAAGCGACGTTCGCTGCGCAAAAAATATAACTTCTCCTGAGGGGGGATGGCTCAGTGGTAAGGGCTGTGCCTGGCCGGCCTCAGGACTGCACCACCTGGGGCAGTGGGTTCAATTCCCACTCCTTCCAAATTAAATCCTTCCAACCAAGGTCCAGCTTCGGCTGGCCCCACTCATTGTTTTAGTTAGTTTAGTCTTTCCCACCACAATCTCTGAAAACCAGTGACTTCACGTAAGCTAGCTAGATTAGGATTAGCAGGACTCACAGACACCCCGGGTGGGGACCGGCGGGTTTGTTAGTAGGACACTAGTCTTAATGTAGTTAGTAAGCGTGGAGTACACGGCAGAGCTCACCAATTAGATCGGCCCGCCTTAAGCGGGACCGCAACAACAGTGCACTCCGTGCCTCCCCACTTCAGCTGCCTCCGGGCACGTCTAATATCCATAGAGATGCAGCTTAGTAGCTAGACGTTAAAATGACATCATCATCATCATCATAACTTCTCCTGATGGTGTAGTTGGTTTATCACGTTCGGCTGTAATGGAAGTCCAATGTAACCGAAAGGTCCCTAGTTCGAATCTGGGTCGGGAGAAATTTTTTGCCTTCTTTTTGTTTGCGACGCGACACCATAACACGTTCTTTTGCAAATCAACCAAGTTCAATCACAACCACGGAGGACATCATTGATGAAGAGCTGGAAGGAACCCGGAGCACCAGAAAGACCGAAGGGCATAACCAAGGACTCGAATAGTCCCCAACG